TTCCGTGCGTCCAGAAGGGTTTCCGTGCGTCCAGGCTGGTTTCCGTGCGTCCAGAAGGGTTTCCGTGCGTCCAGGCTGGTTTCCGTGCGTCCAGAAGGGTTTCCGTGCGTCCAGGCTGGTTTCCGTGCGTCCAGAAGGGTTTCCGTGCGTCCAGGCTGGTTTCCGTGCGTCCAGAAGGGTTTCCGTGCGTCCAGGAGGGTTTCCGTGCGTCCAGGATGGTTTCCGTGCGTCCAGGATGGTTTCCGTGCGTCAAGGATGGTTTCCGTGCGTCCAGAAGGGTTTCCGTGCGTCCAGGCTGGTTTCCGTGCGTCCAGAAGGGTTTCCGTGCGTCCAGAAGGGTTTCCGTGCGTCCAGAAGGGTTTCCGTGCGTCCAGGCTGGTTTCCGTGCGTCCAGAAGGGTTTCCGTGCGTCCAGACGGGTTTCCGTGCGTCCAGAAGGGTTTCCGTGCGTCCAGGCTGGTTTCCGTGCGTCCAGAAGGGTTTCCGTGCGTCCAGGCTGGTTTCCGTGCGTCCAGAAGGGTTTCCGTGCGTCCAGAAGGGTTTCCGTGCGTCCAGGCTGGTTTCCGTGCGTCCAGAAGGGTTTCCGTGCGTCCAGAAGGGTTTCCGTGAGTCCAGGATGGTTTCCGTGCGTCCAGAAGGGTTTCCGTGCGTCCAGAAGGGTTTCCGTGCGTCCAGAAGGGTTTCCGTGCGTCCAGAAGGGTTTCCGTGCGTCCAGGCTGGTTTCCGTGCGTCCAGAAGGGTTTCCGTGAGTCCAGGATGGTTTCCGTGCGTCCAGAAGGGTTTCCGTGAGTCCAGAAGGGTTTCCGTGCGTCCAGAAGGGTTTCCGTGCGTCCAGGCTGGTTTCCGTGCGTCCAGAAGGGTTTCCGTGAGTCCAGGATGGTTTCCGTGCGTCCAGAAGGGTTTCCGTGCGTCCAGAAGGGTTTCCGTGCGTCCAGGCTGGTTTCCGTGCGTCCAGGATGGTTTCGGTGCGTCCAGGCTGGTTTCGGTGCGTCCAGAAGGGTTTCCGTGCGTCCAGGCTGGTTTCCGTGCGTCCAGGATGGTTTCGGTGCGTCCAGGCTGGTTTCCGTGCGTCCAGAAGGGTTTCCGTGCGTCCAGAAGGGTTTCCGTGCGTCCAGAAGGGTTTCCGTGCGTCCAGAAGGGTTTCCGTGCGTCCAGCAGGGTTTCCGTGCGTCCAGGATGGTTTCCGTGCGTCCAGAAGGGTTTCCGTGCGTCCAGCAGGGTTTCCGTGCGTCCAGGCGGGTTTCCGTGCGTCCAGGCTGGTTTCCGTGCGTCCAGAAGGGTTTCCGTGCGTCCAGCAGGGTTTCCGTGCGTCCAGGATGGTTTCCGTGCGTCCAGGATGGTTTCCGTGCGTCCAGAAGGGTTTCCGTGCGTCCAGCAGGGTTTCCGTGCGTCCAGCAGGGTTTCCGTGCGTCCAGGAGGGTTTCCGTGCGTCCAGGCTGGTTTCCGTGCGTCCAGGCTGGTTTCCGTGCGTCCAGGCTGGTTTCCCGTGCGTCCAGAAGGGTTTCCGTGCGTCCAGAAGGGTTTCCGTGCGTCCAGAAGGGTTTCCGTGCGTCCAGAAGGGTTTCCCGTGCGTCCAGCAGGGTTTCCGTGCGTCCAGGAGGGTTTCCGTGCGTCCAGGCTGGTTTCCGTGCGTCCAGGCTGGTTTCCGTGCGTCCAGGCTGGTTTCCGTGCGTCCAGAAGGGTTTCCGTGCGTCCAGAAGGGTTTCCGTGCGTCCAGAAGGGTTTCCGTGCGTCCAGGATGGTTTCCGTGCGTCCAGGAGGGTTTCCGTGCGTCCAGAAGGGTTTCCGTGCGTCCAGGCTGGTTTCCGTGCGTCCAGAAGGGTTTCCGTGCGTCCAGCAGGGTTTCCGTGCGTCCAGGATGGTTTCCGTGCGTCCAGAAGGGTTTCCGTGCGTCCAGCAGGGTTTCCGTGCGTCCAGGAGGGTTTCCGTGCGTCCAGGCTGGTTTCCGTGCGTCCAGGCTGGTTTCCGTGCGTCCAGGCTGGTTTCCGTGCGTCCAGAAGGGTTTCCGTGCGTCCAGAAGGGTTTCCGTGCGTCCAGGATGGTTTCCGTGCGTCCAGGATGGTTTCCGTGCGTCCAGGATGGTTTCCGTGCGTCCAGGAGGGTTTCCGTGCGTCCAGGATGGTTTCCGTGCGTCCAGGAGGGTTTCCGTGCGTCCAGGAGGGTTTCCGTGCGTCCAGGAGGGTTTCCGTGCGTCCAGGAGGGTTTCCGTGCGTCCAGAAGGGTTTCCGTGCGTCCAGGAGGGTTTCCGTGCGTCCAGGATGGTTTCCGTGCGTCAAGGATGGTTTCCGTGCGTCCAGAAGGGTTTCCGTGCGTCCAGGCTGGTTTCCGTGCGTCCAGGCTGGTTTCCGTGCGTCCAGAAGGGTTTCCGTGCGTCCAGAAGGGTTTCCGTGCGTCCAGGCTGGTTTCCGTGCGTCCAGCAGGGTTTCCGTGCGTCCAGGAGGGTTTCCGTGCGTCCAGGAGGGTTTCCGTGCGTCCAGGAGGGTTTCCGTGCGTCCAGAAGGGTTTCCGTGCGTCCAGCAGGGTTTCCGTGCGTCCAGGAGGGTTTCCGTGCGTCCAGAAGGGTTTCCGTGCGTCCAGGCTGGTTTCCGTGCGTCCAGAAGGGTTTCCGTGCGTCCAGCAGGGTTTCCGTGCGTCCAGGATGGTTTCCGTGCGTCCAGAAGGGTTTCCGTGCGTCCAGCAGGGTTTCCGTGCGTCCAGGAGGGTTTCCGTGCGTCCAGAAGGGTTTCCGTGCGTCCAGCAGGGTTTCCGTGCGTCCAGGATGGTTTCCGTGCGTCCAGAAGGGTTTCCGTGCGTCCAGCAGGGTTTCCGTGCGTCCAGGAGGGTTTCCGTGCGTCCAGAAGGGTTTCCGTGCGTCCAGCAGGGTTTCCGTGCGTCCAGGCTGGTTTCCGTGCGTCCAGAAGGGTTTCCGTGCGTCCAGGATGGTTTCCGTGCGTCCAGGCTGGTTTCCGTGCGTCCAGAAGGGTTTCCGTGCGTCCAGGAGGGTTTCCGTGCGTCCAGGATGGTTTCCGTGCGTCCAGGAGGGTTTCCGTGCGTCCAGGAGGGTTTCCGTGCGTCCAGGAGGGTTTCCGTGCGTCCAGGAGGGTTTCCGTGCGTCCAGGATGGTTTCCGTGCGTCCAGAAGGGTTTCCGTGCGTCCAGGATGGTTTCCGTGCGTCCAGGATGGTTTCCGTGCGTCCAGGATGGTTTCCGTGCGTCCAGGAGGGTTTCCGTGCGTCCAGGAGGGTTTCCGTGCGTCCAGGAGGGTTTCCGTGCGTCCAGGAGGGTTTCCGTGCGTCCAGGATGGTTTCCGTGCGTCCAGAAGGGTTTCCGTGCGTCCAGGATGGTTTCCGTGCGTCCAGGATGGTTTCCGTGCGTCCAGGATGGTTTCCGGATTGCCAGACAACTGTCCTAAAAGTCACCTGTCCTAAAAGCCGTCTGTCCTAAAAATTTTTTATACCGTATTGCACCAAATTATGGGCATTTGGAACGAAAATGTTGAAATACAGATGAATTTTGACGCCATATGAAATGTCTTGAATGAAAGAGATGACAGATTTTGGTGCAATACGGTATAAGAAAATTTTAGGGGACAGGTGACTTTTAGGACAAGTGACCGCCCACTCACAGCTACAGTATCCCCTCGAAAATAAATAGAGTTTTTTACATGTTTTGCAAATTTCATTTTGATTTTTTTGAATCGGTCCGCTACAGTATCCACTCGAAAATAAAGAAGGCGTTTTTTACATATTTTGCAAATTTCACTTTGATTTTTTGAGATGGCGCAGCTACCGTATCCGCTCGAAAATAAATAGAGCGTTTTTTACATATTTTGCAAATTTCACTTTTATTTTTTTTGAGGTGGCACAGCTACCGTATCTACTCGAAAATAAAGAAGGCGTTTTTTTACATATTTTACAAATTTCACCTTTATTTTTTTGAATCGATCCACTACAGTCATAAAAGCCTCTTCGCAGTTCTCCTCGCAGCCAAAAGTTATAAAAGCGTTTATTGCCTATTTCTGCGCAAATCACTCAACGTTTTTTGTCGTTTTCAAATATTCTCTCGAAAAATAAAAGTTGTTTTGGCATTATTTGATGGCGAATTTCTTGGTGTTCGCGTTTTGCCTATTTTTGCAAAAAAAAATCCTTCTTGCAAATGCCTGAGCATTTACCGCCTGGTCTGAACGTCGGCAACGTCGCACTCAATGGGTTAGATAAGCGGTTTCCCGTTTTTTATGTTCATTCCACGCTAACGTTTTGGTTTTTACTAGCGCCAAAAATGCGTTATCAGCATCCCCGTGTATAAAAGGCAGAATCGACGCCAGCGCGTTGAAATTTCGTATGTAGCTATGTTTAATAACACCCCTTATCAGATTTTGTATATGTATTCCATCGATAGAAAATCTCCTAACTATAAAGATTGTAAGTTTACGATAAGAGAATTACCCCAGCATAGTACTGTAAAAGCCCCGCAGGAAATGTCTAATGTTATTGGAAAAAATGTTCATATCGAAGCCAATAAGTTACCAAGGAGTTTTGAGAGAGAGCCCTTTATGGAAAATCATATCAGCCTGTTTTTGGATGAAGTCTGGAAAACAGAAAATTTCAAAGAAAAATGTGGCCACATCCGGGCGGTCGTGGACTTCGCCGCTATAAGAAACTATCGGCTAAAGTACATGAATGATAGAAAAATCTATGGTTGGACAGAATCCTGGATAGAACACGAGAGCGGGAAGCTAATATTCAAATGTGCTAACAGAAAAGAGTATCCGAAAGAGGCAGCAAAAGAAGAAGTCCATACAAATCGCTTCGGGAAAGCCGGAGAGTTGCTGTGTGGAATTTATGAGAATAGCAATAAGAAATATGCTTCAGAAGATGAAATCCACCGATCTGATTTTTATGTGATCAAAATGAAGATGGATGGTTTAGAGGAGGAACCATTGGAAATTCTATTGATCGCTCAGGGTGATGGCTTCCGGTTAGAAGATGGTGTACCATATTTGGTGGAAAGAAAAACATACTCCATGGAGCAGAATAATTTCTTGGATCAATCAAAAATCCGCAACAAGTTGGCGTCGTATCATTGGCCATTTATGAAGCTGCTCATCCTTTGGCACCGATCGGGCGTCATTGAGTGGGTAGATGATAAGTTTTTCGAAGATGAAATATCTGAGTATGAAGAAATTTGGAAGAAGTCCGATCGCATCTATATCGATGGAATCAGTAGAGAACTGAAGAGAAGGGAAGAAGAGAAGAGAAGGTTTCTACAGTACTTGCTGGCTCTTATTGTTGGAAAAATATTAAAGCGTAGTACTTTATTTTTTAAATTTTTATCAAATAACTCCTTTACTTGAATTTACTCTAATTTACTTTGTTAAAAATTTTGATTTAAATTTAAATTTAATTTTAACTTGATTTACTTTAATTATTATTTTACTTTTTACTTTAAACTTAAACTTAGACCAACTTTATTTTTTTTGGAATACATATACATTTTTTGAGGAAGCATAGTGGCATACGTTATTTCCCATAATCCAATTCTGTTATATGAATACACGGATTATGTATTATATAAGTACAATAGTTTAAGATAAATTAAGTGATAATAATTTGTAGTGTTAAAGTAATAGTTATAAATTAAGTGATAATGATTATACCCACCTACTATCTACTTACTTCCATCTATCTACTTACCTATACATTTGTTTACAAATGGTGGCATACGTCATTTCGCCCAATCCAGCGAGGCGGTTTGGAGTTTGCATTCTTTTGCTATGGTCTTTTTATGGTTTTGTATCATTCATACAAAACCCCCAAAAAGCAAAAATCAAAACCGAAAAAATGGGGGGTGGCTCTCACCTCCAAGTGGTCCCCCTTGATATGCGGTTCGCTAACATTGTGAAGACCCGGGTGGTGTCTGGTAGGCTCAAAGTATTCACGGCCGGGATTTCGAAATTCATAATGTCGAAAAAACCAAAATTATTAGAAAAACAAAATTAAAGAAGAAAAACCTTCAAAAAAAGTCCAAAAACCGAATTTTGGTGCTTCGGAATTATCGGGGGGGGGGGGGAAGGACTTCTCGCTTTTCCAATATAAACAGAGGCCGCGTTTTTAAACTGCATTTTACTAATCCTCTACCTTAAAATTTTCCAAATTTTGATTAAATACATACAAAAATGTAGTTTGTTGGATAAAAGTTCCGATTTTTGACAAGAATTTCAAAATTTCTCAGGTTTTTTGAACGATTTTTCGGCTTGGCTAAATTACACCGAAAACACTTTTAAAGCACTTACTGCTGCTAGGCATTTCTATACTTATGGGAAAAGATTACGTCTCCCGAAAGCACACGAAATTTACGTGAATAAAATCGCCCGAGGACTACTCGATCGCAAACTTTCGACATTTCGAATTCCGTTTTTTTTTGAAAACATGCCCACTCAATTTCGCTTCTGGCCCTCCGCTCCTGGCGTCAACACATAAAATGTGAAACTGCAGAACTGAAAAAGAGCGTCTTTGTAATTTATGTTCTTGATTTACTATATCTTTATTACATTTCATATTTAATTCCTTGATGTATTCTTGAATACCGAGATTTTATACGATTTTACGACAATCGTGATGCTTTTCCGAAAAAGCGGATCAAGCAGGCGTTCTGCCTCAAACCGAAGTTAGTGCTTCTGAATTGCTTGGAAGAGAACTTCGCAGGGATTAGTCAGGGTAAGTGAAGTGAGAGTCAGAGAGCAAGAGAGTGAGAGAACGAGAGAGACAGCGACAGTTAGAGAGAGAGGGGAGAGAGAGAGAGAGAGAGAGAGAGAGAGAGAGAGAGAGAGAGAGCAGGAGACGTAGCTTGTTAAGGTTCATCCGATTGTATTTTCGACGGGGCGAGTTCTGAAATCGAGATTTCATTGGCAGCCACGATTTCCAAACGAGAAATTGACCTGCACCAATTATTACGATAACGGTGAATTAATTATCTTCAGGCTAAAATTAGCACTTTTTAGTCGCGCCGACCGTCACATTCAACCGGACTAATTATTACATCCTTGGAAATTGCACATTTTCCCAGGTTTAACTTGTTTAGCTTGTAACTACGTTTTCGCGAATTTCAGGAATGCTTGGATATATGTGGCTTAATGGGTCTACAGTCCGTCTCGATACATTCAGATGCGGAAAATGCCTTGATGATGAGTAAGTGGCTTCGCTTTCGAAGCCGGAAACCTTTGGAAACATCATCCTTTTGTTGGCGTACGGGATTCCTAAAAAACACCCCCTCTAACTCGAGGCAGAAATATAGGATAGTTACACGATTTGAAAGCTCTGGAAACGGCCAGTTTGCTCCGATATTCTTAACCGTGTTTTATTTAAATGCGCCATTTTATAAGCTATCTTGTAAAATTTTCCGGTTTTCCGAGGTTGCATACGAGCTAATTTTCTTCAAGTGCTCCAAGCAAAATGTCCGGAATTAGCCGTTCATTAGATACATAGGTGGAGTGAAAGCATGGTTATGAAAATGGCTACAAACTGGCCGTTTCAAGGGCTTTCGAATGGGGGTATAGCTATCATTCCGATTCGAAACTTATCCGTCAAGTTCAGGGGCGTAGCTAGAAAAAAATTTCGGGGGGGGGGCCCCAAAATTTTTGCCAAAAAACTCAAAACATTGCAGAAAACAACAGCGCCACAGGCAAAAATTTTTGAAAAAAAGGTTACATGGCTCTACAAATAGCCGTAAAAACGTGAAAAAAATAGCGCCGCAGGCAGCAAAATTTTTGAGAAAATGAAAATCATAAGGGTCCCCCCTTATGAAATTTTCGGGCCCCGGCCGATTTCGGGGGCCGGGCCCCCGGGGCCGGTATTACGCTACGTCCCTGGTCAAGTTACAGGGGTGTTTTATTATTCGGACACCTTGTGCGCCTAGTACTTGTAACTTTTTAGACCTGGACTGACTGACGGACTGACCAGACAATGGAAAGATTTGGCGTGTAAGGCGAGGGATCAAATGGCGAAATGTGTGTGCGCGAGGCGATGGCCGGATTATAGAGATCCGTAGGAAAGAGATGATTTTTGGATTTTTTGCGAATAAAATTGTTGACTTGGCCCGCTTTGCTTTTACGTAAATCCATTCTACACGTCATTTCGCGCATCGCGCAGTTGTTTATCCCTAGTCGATGGCAGGGGTCGATTTTGAGGGTTCCCTGTCCCTTTCAAGGTGTTATTTAGAAAATATTGATGCATCAAATCGACATTTTTGGGTGTTTTCCGGCAATTTAACACCAGTTTATTAAAAATATTATTTCAAAGACTGAGCCGTCGCTTCTATTCATTGTCCATCCCATAATTTGGCAATCTCCTCATACAGATACAACTGGCCTTCGTACTTATTGAAAGACAGTTGATGTCATTCCACGTACTGTCTTTCTAGAAAAACGCTTTTAAAGATAGCGGATAGCTAAAAAAATTAAATTGAAACCCACATTAATAGCCGAGCAGAGCTCCTTGATATTGTCATAAATGAAGGACAGAGGTTGGGTTGGGTTCTGGCTGTCCAGTTGGGTTGTATAATCCCACGGGGAACCATCTCTGAAAACGACTTCCATTGACGGCAAAGAAAACGCAACGCAACGCAACACGGGACACGCGACACGCTGAACAATTCGCGACGCAGCACGCGAACCAAAAAATGGGACATGCTACGCATCACGCGACAGAAGACGCCAGATGCGATACGCCAGCACTGGCATTCGACGCAGCACGTGGCGCGCTATTCAATAACCTGCGCAGCCCGCGATGCGCAACGCAGCCAACGACACACAACACGCTCAGCAGCATCCGGCACGCCATGAGTCAGGACGCACCATGCGAGATGTTACGCAGCGCGCGCCACGCGCCACGCTGCCCAACTCGGGACGCAACACACAAAGCAACATTGGACACGCTAAGCAACACGCATTAGGAGACACAAGAGGCGGCAAAGAAGCGACCCGCAGTGCGACATGCTACACTCGACGCCCCACACCAGACGCTACGCAGCGCACTTCACGCAAAGAGCACGTGAAGCACTATGCGACGAAACAAGCGATACGATAAGGAACCGCGACGCCACGCGACCCGACGCCACACGCAGCACACCAGCCTTCGCGACATCTCACCTCCAATAGGTGACATTATCCCCTTGCCACGAGAATCCTATCCACAGTCGGGCCTGATACGTCGCCGTCGCCGTCGTGCAATCTGGCCAATCGTTTGTTATTTCTGAATTTATGGTTTTTTATTACTTTGATGTATGATATTTTCTTTTTTACTTTACTAAAAATTAAATTGTATTTCTTGATCATTTTTACGATTTAAAATCGTACCTGACATGAAGCTATTCTCCGCGGCGGAATGTATTGAAATTGGCTGCAGCCCCATTAATTCGCATTGATCCAGGCAGTCCTAAAACTCAGCTTAATCTTTTATTGCTAATTTTCAAATGTATAAGTGATTCAACTTTTTCACCGATTTATTTAATTTCAGTAGCACAGACCTGCGCAAAAGTGCAATTTCCCAGATGATAATAATCCGTGTTATTAAATGACCATGTTGGGGTCACTAAAAGCGGGTTCTTAAAATTCAGTTCTTTAACTTACCGTTATCGTAATAATTTGTACAAGTTAGACAATTTTCAGCTACCATATCCACGTTTGATATTTCGTATTCGGGATTGGCTTGATTTAACGAACATGAGGTGGCACCTTAATGGAATTTCAATATTTTTTTAAAGATGACGGTTAGGCTTGAATATAGATTTTTAGCTAAACGTGCTATGGATTTTCCCCCGCCAGCGACACGTAACACTAAGTGATACGCTTTGTGTGGCTAAGCAATTACGCAATGTCAAGGCGTGCGTGAGCCTTACTTGCGTTAAAATCCATATTTTATGCCGCGTTGCGTGTTACCTCCACGTATTTCCATGCGTATCGCGTTGCGTATCGCGTTGCCTGTCGCGTTGAATAGTGCGTCTCGTCTTGCGTCACGTATGGCCCTCGTGTGTCTCGTGGCGTAATGCGTGCGTAATGTGTAACGCGCTGCGTATCACGTCGCGTGTCGCGTGATGTATGGCGGTGCGTATAGTGTTCAGTGTCATGTTGTCTATAGCACTGCCGATCGAGTTGCGTTTCGCGCTGAAGATCGCGTCGCGTGTTAATTTGCGCATCGCGCTGCGTGTCGCGGCACTTCGCGTTAGCACCGCGTTGCGTGACGCGTCGTCTAACGCATTGGGTATCGCGTTGCGACACGCGTGTATTACCGCGCTGTGTATCGCGATGAATCTTGGAGTGCATAACGCCTGCGTTGCGTATTGCGTTCCAAATCGCGCGTGTGCGGCGCATGTCGCGGCGCATTGCTTTGCTTGGCCTAAAGTGTTGCATATCGCGTGGCGTATCGTATTGTGTGTCGTTGCGTGTCACGTTGCGTATCACGTCACGTTTACGGCGCATCTATGTCTAGGTTTCACCACACTGCAACACGCAACGCACCCAACTTTCAAACCAGCGTGGGGTGTTGCAACATTGTTAAAATCCAAAGATATTTCAAACCCAAAAAATCCATTGCTATACCTTGCTGGGCCCCTTAAAACATGAAACCTTACCCTGGCTAATTCCACTACAACCGGATTGCAAACATTTTTCTAGGCAATTAACACTCGGCACCGGTGAATCAGGTATTTTTCGTAAAATTACGGTTTTTGCGGTGTCAGATTTAATACAGATAGCAGAAATTATCAAGATTATTAGTATTTTACAGCGCATTTCAGATAAATGAATTTGTTTCCTAAAGTTGTGCATCTCTAAAATTTTGTGCCATTTCGCAAATCCGCAAACTCCAGTCGCCAAGCAACTACCACATTTGCGGTGTTGAAAAATTTGGTGTTTTTTAGGGAAAAAACCACACCAGGAAAAGCGTTGCCAAGCGCCAAACGGGGAAGTTGTTAAAACGTGATTAATCTTATGATTTTTAGCTTTTCGAAATTTGCAAAACGTTTTATTTTTATTTTTAAGATTATGAAAATCTGAATTATGATTTTTCTAAAGTACGTCCGTCGGCAAACAATTTTCTCGTCAAAATTCTCTTTTTTGGTCACCTACCACCCGGTAACCAAGGAACTGCACTTCACTCTTCCTGGAATTCCTCATTTTTCAAGGCGAGAAATTGGTCTGGCGGCACTTCCCGAAAACAGACAGTTCCGAAATTCTAGAGGGCTTATTCGAGCACTTAGAAAATGAGAGTAGCCTTTATTTCTATGATCCTAACCTTTGCTTCAGCTACCGTAATCCTACTTCAAAAAATTCCGGGAGCCGTTGCGCCAAGTGCCGAATGCCTCCTGAATTGTCTAGAACAGAATTGCACCGGCATTAGTCAGGGTATGTGAGAGCGAGAGAGAGAGAGAGAGAGAGAGAGAGAGAAAGAGAGAGAGAGAGAGGGAGCCAGAGCAAAAGAGCGAAGGAGCGAGGGAGAGAGAGAGAGAGTGAGAGCCAGAAAAAGAGAGAGAGACCGGGAGCGAGAGAGAGAAGGAGCGAGAGCGAGAAAGAGAGAGAAAGAGTGTGAGCCAGAGAGAGTGAGAGAGAGAGCAACAGAACTAAACTTTTCTAGGTTCATCGGCTTGCCTTTTAAATGAAGCAATGCCTGACTATGAGGTTTCCCGTAACGAGACGGTAGCAGATGAATCTTTGACATGCTTTAACTATTATGATACTGGTATTGTTTGCAAAAAAGTCTCAAAGGCGAAGCGAACAATGGTTTCAAAATTGCGCTTAAAAAATTTCCAGCCCCAACAACATCCACGTTCAACCGCACCGATTACTATGAGCTGGGGAAGTGCACGTTGGCACCGGTAGGTTTTTTGAGGGGGACGAGCAAGGCATGCTCGCGGATTTGGACCTTGCCGTGCCACACCGCAACATGTAACGCAATTCCCACTTTGGCCGCCGTAAATGGGGGCGTAGTGAAAATAAGGGCTCGGGTTGCGTAGCGCGGATCTCTCGGTGATCCAGAGCCAACAAAAAATTCGTACTTGTCCGGCCCTTTAAAGGACTGGAAAAGCGAGCATCCACCTCGATCATCGACTAGATCTCAACAATTACGCAACCGCTAAATAATCCTGTTAATAGGCTTTTGGCGATACTCACAAGGAGACGTTTTTTGGTGTGAATGGAGTTCTGAGTGGAAACCAGGCCTATTTTGTGCAGAATTTTGCGCTGATTCCGAATATGTTTTCCATTTCTGCTAAATAGCTCGATTTCAAAAGTTATAGCAATTTTAAGATCATTTTAGCCCAAATTTTCCCCTCTTTAGAGACCATTATATTGCTTTTCCCGGCTGTTTTTCCAAAAATAAATATCATCACCGTATTCAGAAAAATTTTCTCTATCGAATGAGCTATTTAACTCAAAATTGTTGAAAATCGAAAAAATCGACGATACTTGGTATGGGCTGCGATTTTTGTATGGGAAATGTTGAAAAACAGCCTTCTCACCCCTGTAAGCCATCGTCGATCGGCACTAATCAAATATACCATTCGAATCAGAAAAAAATTCTCTACAAGATAGGGTACTTAAACAAAATTAAAACGTTATAACAAAAAAGTAGCACAGCATAGCATATGGCTACTCTGGGCCTAAAAATTATCTTAAAATAGCTGTAACTTTTTAAATGGAGCTATTTAGCAAAATTGGAAAACAGCATCGGAATCAGCGCAAAATTCTGCACAGAATAGGCCTAATTTCAACTGAAAACTCCATTCACACTAAAAAACGTCTCCTTGTCAGGAAGAGCTTGAGATCCAATTTACCGGTAGTGGCGCGTGTCATGTGGAAGTTGTTATTTTGTTGTTAGTTGTCGAACCCTAGTCAATATATGGGGCAGGTTTTTGCGATGCCTTCCGTGTGCCTTTAAAGGAGCCGGA